TATCTATCTATCTATCTATCTATCTATCTATCTATCTATCTATCTATTTTATCTTTCTCTTATTATCTTTCTCTATCATCTATCACTGTCTGTCTACCTATCTACCTCTATCTACCTACTGGTACTTGTTGCTGTATTGTCATTATTCCTTTAATGAAGCCTACAGATATCTCTGATCATAACAAAATAAATAACTAAACTATTATGTTCTTTCTCTCCTCCCTCCTTTTCCTAAAAAAATAAAATAAAACCAGCTGAAGGTGCTTGTGGAGGTACCCTCCGTGGGACCAGTGGAATTATTTCAAGTCCTCACTTTCCTTCAGAATACAACAATAATGCAGACTGCACGTGGACCATTCTTGCAGAGCCAGGAGACACCATCGCTCTGGTTTTCACAGATTTCCAACTGGAAGAAGGCTATGATTTTTTAGAGATCAGTGGCACAGAAGCCCCATCCATATGGTAAGTTAACGCAAGAGCAAACAGTCTCACTGCTTTATAGAATGTATAATATAGCTAGCTAGCTAGCTAGCTAGATAGCTAGATAGATAGATAGATAGATAGATAGATAGATAGATGCATCACAGTTGCAGTTTATTCTAAAAAACCATAATCAATTATTCTATTCCTTTAATCAAAAGTATGCTAAATTTCTGCTTACATATATGCTCCACTGTGTCTTATTTGGGGAAAAATATGAAAATTAAAGTAGGGGGGAAAGGGGAACCTTGTTAAAAAATGCTAAATATGATGAAATGGTAGGATAGTGCCCTCTAATGGATGGATAAAAAATATTCCATTTGTGAGTCATCTTAACTTTTTAATGGATTGCACCTCAAAAGTATCATTATAATGGAATGAGTTGCTTATTTTGATAAAAGAGAACACGAAAGACAGAGAACAGATTCCACTGTAATGCAGGGATTCATTGTGATTGTACTGCTGCCAACATGAAGTTCAACATGGTGAAGAATGAGCAGCTGTTACTGAGGAATATATTGAAGGGTTAAGCATTTTTTTTACAACTGGTGGAATTTCTACAAAGAATTATGTTTTTAATTATGCATTTTTTTACAGTTCATGTTCTAATAATTAGATTATTTATGCCTACCAGTAGCATTTAATATCAATAATAAGTTTAACTGACTTTTTATGTGTAATTAAGTTTAATTATGAATGGTTACCATACTATAGCAGATATACCCTAAATATATTGCATAATATTATAACAGGAATAAAATTAGATTGGCTGTATGTGAATTTGTTTAATACGAAAACCTCAACATCTTACCTGAAAATAGTAAAAGTGACAGCAAGTACTTTTATTCCAGTTACTTCATCTAGTTGTTCTCAAATATCATGATATTGCAGTAATGGTCACTCCAGAAATAGAAGTATTTTTCTATGGTTAATGCAATGAGGTGTAGAGCATTTTAGCAAAATGTTACATTTATTAATCCTTACAAAAGAAGTAGCAGTGGCTTTTCTTTAGTGCTCTGTGTGGGCATTATCTTTGTGTAAATTTTCCATTCCACCCACATTCTCCCTGCACAAAAACTACATTTTTGCTTTGTTGATATCCAGAGCTCACCCAGTGATTTTTCACTGGGGGGAAAAAAATGCATATTGTGATAGCCAGGTTCCCAGGAGGGAGGGGGAGTGCATTTCAGAGGAACAAGAGACAACTCAGTTCGTATAGCATACTTTAGTTTAGCAATATTTTGTCTATGGGTGAGGAACAATAAAGACTTGCTTGGAAGAATCACAGTATGTGTCCTTCTTGGTTTTTGGAGTCTTGGAACAAGTGACAAAGGTGAACCCACAAACATTCCATTCTGAGTAATTCAAGAAAACACAATGAATTACCTTAATATTCCTTTCTGGATTGCTATGGCAGTATGCTTATGTAAGTATGTGTTTACAAGTTCTCCACAAAAGCCATTCTCCAATTTGAAGAGCTTATTGTGCTGGAATGGAAAGGAAGGCACTGACTGACAAAAAGGATGAAAATATATACTCACAGATAGAACTTGATGGTTACTAATTTATTAAAATGCCTTGATAAAAAGAAGAGAAAATGGAAGGATTAGATTCGATGACTGACTGCTCTGCCCTCAAATCAGAATGATTCTTTGAAATTGGTTGAGAAATTGAGCAATATTGAAGCTATAGTCTTTATTTGATTGGTTTAAGAACTGTATTTTCTTTTTGGAAAAGACAATGGAGTTAGTCTATATGCTTTTATCACTCAAAGTCACTTCCAACTTTTTCACAAAGGGCATCATTACTTTTGGCCACTCTCTCCTCTTTCTACAAAAACTCATAAACTGGGCAGTTCAGAATTTTTCACACATTATTTCCACTGTAATATCCAGTTTTACAGCAACTGTTTATTTTTTAAAAAAATTTATTTATGTACATCTCACTATTAAATGTCTCTGTTCTTGTTCATTTTATTGCATCCTTTCACAAATCAAACAACACTGTAATCTGCATTGTTCAAATACCCTTGATTTCTATGAAATTCAGCATGTTTGTTGCACTTAAATTGTTCTAATGTTCTAACAATTTTTACCCCATTCTGATAAAATGTTCATTTTTTTTCAAATATTTTATTTATTTAGAAGGGGTTAAATGGGATATTAGTATAAGAAAGGAGCAAATCTGATGCCAATTAACTTTTTTTTAAAGTAGCAAAGCTAATTTTAACCTATTTACCACAAACCTCTGGGTAATCCTATAGGAACATAATGTAAATTGTGAGAGAACTGAAGCAGATGTTGATTAATGACCTTAAGTTGTTGCCTGAATAGAAGATTTTACATTTTTTGTTGTTGTTTTGCTTTTAAGAATAACATTTTTTTACTAAATGAGTTCTACTTTCAAAGCAATAGATGCTATTGGAATGTTGAAACATACATAATTATATCTTTATGTTATTTTTATGTTTTGTTTTGAAAGCCAGTTTTTAGTTCCTCTAATTGAGTACAGACCTGACATATAAACATATAAAACACAAGAATAATAGCTATGGTTAGTGCAATTTAATTAAAGTTAATTATTAAATAAGTTGCATAGCTGTTCAACATGACTATTTATGTTCTGATTTGATATGCATGGGTGTCATGTACCTATTCAATTTAATAGGCGATGCTGCTACATAATTAAAACCCAATCATCTGTGTTGATTTCTGTGACTATGCTTGAAAGCAAATTCCTACTTTTCTACAATAAATTAATTATTCTAATAATTAACCTTCACTTTGTTATTCAGTCTTTTTATTATTATTTTTATTCTGGAAGAAATGGTGAGTAACAGAGGGAAACAATCTGGGGCGATTTAAAACAGACACACACACACACACACACATCTATCTATCTATCTATCTATCTATCTATCTATCTATCTATCTATCTATCTATAATAGGAAAAGGGAAAATTAGCCTGAAAAATAACCTTAGTCAGCAACTTAACTCTTCAATAATTCCATTCTTTGATTAGATCAGGTCAGCCAGTGTAGGAGTAGTTACATTCAAACATGATACCTTATTTTAGAATTCAAATCTATATTTCCCTAATCTGCACTGAATGATCCTTCAGCCTTTATAACAGCTCAAGATTGTGGATCAGGTCATCGCATTTTAAAGTATGTAATAGGTTGATACTTACAGTTCTTCCTTTTCTTAGCTGTTGTGATTGGGAAACTTACATGTAAATTATGCATTTCTTTGAGCTGAAAGTATTCTTTACCAAAGGATAATTGTAATCAAGTGAACTCTTTGGCTCATCGCTATTCTTCGTGGTCTATTTACAGATGGTTAGATTTTTTAATGGCATATCTGAAAGAGACAAATGAAAGCAAGTTTTTTTTCCACTTTCTTTTCTTTTCTTTTTTCTTCCAAAATGGCTTTTTTTTAAAAGAAAATGCTGATAATTGTATTCTGATTTGTAAATAATTCAATAAGTATGAATTAGGTATATTTGCTTTAAAATGTGAACCAAAACAACACCCACATTTTTACCTAATCTCTGTCATAAGCCATCATCTTTTTAATAGCCTGATACTGTTTTTGAATTGATGAACTGAACCCTTACTAAAAAAAACTTGAATATGGGAGAATAATGAAGTTAAGACTGACATAATTATTGTTTATAACACACAAATAATACTGGTGTGAGTAGTGAATATCTGTGCCAATTTGTCAGCTTTGACAACATATATTTTCATTTATTTGTTTGTTTGTTTGTTTATTTCCTACCTTTATTTATTTTTATAAACAAGCAGCGATTATACCTAATTCTCCTTCCTCCACCTATTTTCGACACCAACCGTGTGAAATGGTCTGGGATGAGTGGGAATGAGTGTCCCAAAATCACCCAGCTGGCTTTCTTCTCCAAGGTGGGACTAGAATCCACGGTCTTCTGGTTTCTAACCTGGTACCTTAACCACTAGACCAATCTGGCTCTTAACCATATGTTTGCTCATAGGAAATAGAGTCTCAGTGTGACAATTGCTAACTGGTTTGTAATATGTCCAGATAACTGCATATCCCTATGGATCCAAATCTGGATGCAAGGTGAAGAGCTTGACCAGAAATGGTGACACTAAAAAAAAATGTAGTATTGAGGTTTAATGGTTTATTAGAACTGTGCAGAGCAGTCAAAAGAGAAGTTTTGCCAAGAGCATTGGTGTGATTGAAGGCCCTTCTTCAAAGTGTTACAGCCAGAGTATTCTCTGGAAAAATTGGCCTCTTTCAAAGATTTTTTTTTTCCCTGGCTGCCTGAATGTGGATCTGTATGCACAGCTACTTTGCCTTGCTGGCAGACTCAGTAGTAGTGTTCTGCATGGAACAAGGCCACCAAAATGGAATTTGTTGTGCCAGGGTATCTATTCCATAGAAACAATCTTGCAGAAAGTTATAACAGGAAGACACCTCTTATTCTGTTTCTTAAATATTTACATGTGAACAAAGATCAGTATAAAAATATGAAATTTTTTTGGAATTGTCGATGAAATGTCAGGGACCTTTCTAAACCAGCCGTGGATCATCAATGATCTAAACAAATCTTTTCATCAATTGACACAGTACAACCTGTGAAAGCTTCTGTGTGTAGTTGATTTTCTTAATCATTGGAAATGGAAAGGATGGCTGAAACGATTGAGAGCAGTGATTATTTTCTCTGCTGAACATGTGCTGATGCTAATGTTGCTAACACACCAAAGTATGCTGAATTTATGAGGGTTCTACCACTAAAACAGCTCTGAAAGCAAATGCTAGTAAAGCTATTAATGGTATCAATAGAGTAGCATAATTAATTGTCTCTCATACTCTAATATGTAGTTCTTACTTAGAAACTAGTCATCACTAAGATCAAAATGTATTCAGTGCGCAGGAAGAACGGAAAAGAAGGAAAAGTAAATTGATGCTTAATTTATAGAGCATTAGCACTTCTTAGGCAC